CCCCCCCCCCCCCCGCAATGGCAGGACATGAAAGAAGGGGTGTTGTTTGAAGAGTAGTGCAGACAGGCTCCAAGCATGCCCTTGCTGTGGTCTGTGTGGCTTCCCCAGGCTCCTGAGCAGATGTGTCATCATGGGATCCTGTATCTAGGCAGCCTTCTGCATGGGCACAGAGCCTACTTTTATTGGCGAGGCAGAGGGCACGGGTGTTTAAATGGCACTTAAATGGCTCGAATTAGTGTCCTGCCCGCATGCTTCTGATGAGACTGAGCAGGAAGGCACAACTGTGGGCCACCATGATTTGTAGCTTCAGATTTTTAAAAGCCCTAAAGAAGAAAAGGAAGAGAAGGAGAACAATAGATTCCATGGGAGCAGGGGTTAGGCTTGTTTATTTATTCAACTATACCCAGTGCCCGAGACAGTGCCTGGCAAATAGTGAGAGTGTAAATACTGCTGAAAGGATAATCCCGTTAGCTGCCTCGCCCACCTTATGCCAGCCCTCATGAGTGTCCCATGTGGGGGATCTCATGGGATCTTCACCCCAGCTCTGGGAGTGAGGAACCGACAGGTAGAAGCTACCATCTAGGGGTGCCCGGGCAGCTCGGTCGGTTAATGTTCAACTCTTGATTTTGGCTCAGGTCATGATCTCATGGTTCATGAGTTTGAGCCCCATATTGGGCTCTGTGCTGTCAGCATGGAGCCCGCTTAGGATTCTCTGTTTCCCTCTCTCTCTGCCTCTCTCTCTCTCTCTCTCTCTCTCTCTTTCTCTCTCTCTCTGCCCATCCCCCACTGCCCGCAGACTCTCTCTTTCTTAAAATAAGTTAATAATAAGAATAATAAGAATAATAAAAAGAAGATACCAGCTAGAGGTCACACAGCCAGAAAAAGTGGCCCAGTAAAAACTCAGAAACTGTCTGGCTTTACCTCATCCTGCTTCCTGAGCAGAAGTGAAGAGATCATAGTTGAGTGACTCAAACATCTTGCTGTGAAATTCTATGGCCCCAGGGCACAGTTCTTTAAGGAAACTTTCAGACAGAACTTCGGGTTTCTAAATTCAGAAAAGCTACTCTAGTTACCAGTCTCATTGTGAATATGCAAATGTAGCCTGATCCCCACACATCCTGAAGCATTTACAGATAAGAAGCAGCTAATTTGGGACTATCTTTCTTATTAATCTTTAATTACTCATTACAGAAGTATCAGAAATTAGCATAATAAGAAGTGCTAACTAATTACATTGTGGATCCTTTATCAGTCAGGATTTATTGTTCTGTTAACAAAACCAATCGATTGAAATAATCTCTGTAAGTTCATTAAGATATACAAACAGTGTCAACCCAATAATGAAGACGGAGTGATTAAGATAATTAAAAGCAGACATGCTAGTTATTATAGAATAGTTAAGGAAGAAAATGAATTAATTTTTTTTTTACCCCAAATTGCCCCCTTATATAAAGAAACCCATTAGAGGTCCCATTAACCCTCACTGTACATCTGCTTGTAAGTTTTCAACATAAATGATCAACTTCAAGACCATTTACATAATTATTTGGACGATTAGGAAGATACTCTGAACTTTTTTATTTGAAGCCTCAATAGTAAAATTGTGAAGGCTGTCCCCCTAAGGGGTAAGAGAATGGATCAACTTCTTTAGTGAATTTATATTAAAAGCCCCGGGGTGAGAAAAGGAACCACTAATTAACAGTGACTTTTACACGTTGATTGTTTTATTACAGGCAACTTATGTAAAAATTTTAAACAATCAGAAAAGTTGCTATTCTCTTGCTGTTTGCCACATATTTCAAGTTTTTCCAAGTATATGAACATATGTAATTTTTCCCCAGCAGTAGAATCCTGTTTTCCAGAGTACTCAGCAACTTGCTTCTATGCTTTTATTGCAAGCAAGTGTATTTGAAGAGCAGAGCATTTCATCACCCTGTAGTTGACATTAATTATTTAACCAGTCCCCCTTTGCTGGATGTCATGCTGTTCTGGGTCTCTTTTCTGCTCGAGAGTGCTGCAGAGAACGGACTTGGGCATGTATTCTTGCAGGGTTGGGTGTTCTTCTACTGAATAATATCTGGAGGTGGAATTGCTGCACCAAAAGGCATGCATATACTTAGGTATTACGAGAATGTCCACTAAGTAGGGTCTTATAATGGTTACACACTTAGAAACTGCACAGGCATACCTTGGAGATATGACGGGTTTGGGTCCAGACCACTGTGGGTAAAGTGAATATCGCGATAAAACGAGGAAAATTTTTGGTTCCCCAGCGCATATAAAAGTTATGTTTACATGACAGTGTAGTCTGTAAGTATGCAATAGCATTGGGTCTAAAAAACAATGTATGTGCCTTAATTTAAAAATACTTCATTGCTAAAAAATGCTAACCATCATCTGAGCTTTCATTGATGATCCCAGATCACCATAACAAATATAATAATAATAAAGTTTGAAATAGTGCGAGAATTACCAAAATGTGACAGACAGACACAAAGTTAGCAAATGCTATTGGAAAAATAGCAGAAAGTTGCTACAAACCTTCAGAAAGTAACCTTGTGAAAAAAACGCAGACTCTGGGAAGCACAATAAAACAAGGTATGCCTTTAGTACTCAGCTCCATCTGCTGTAACAAAATACCATAATGTGGGTAGCTTACACAACAGAAATTTATTTTCTCACAGTTGTACAGGCTGGAAAGTCAAATATCAAGGTCCAGTAGGGTTTGGTTTCTGTGAGGCTTCCCTTCCTGGCTCGTTGACAGCCATTCACCTTCTCACGGTGTATGTTCCCGGAGAGAGAGAGAAAGAGGGAGCCAGCTCTATCCTGTCTCCTCTCACGCAGGTGCCAGTTACGAAGCCCCATCCTCATGACCTCACCTAGCCCTAATCCCCTCCCAAGGCCCCATCTCCACATTGTGGGTTAAGGCTTCAACATGAAACTGTGGGGAGGGCGCACAAACATTCAGTCCATGACGCCAACATTTTGAGAGTTCTAAATAGTGGATTTGTAACTGGCAAACGTCCATGTTCATTCCCTTGAATTGTCTCTGTCAATCCTAAATATGTTTCACCAATGTTGCCTTGCCACATCATGGTGGTGTTCTTTTCCTCCATTACCTTTGGTTTCTACGCTGGTAAAATTGCTCGAGTAAGATGGTGTATGTAGGTTTTTCAGTCTGTTGAGAATGGTTACTTGCCTCCGCCTAGAGGGAGACCCTACTGCAGATTCTTGTACGTGCAGGACGATGGGAGGTTTGAAACTCCATCCAGAATGCCCCGCAAATCTGTTTGAGTGCCCTGTTCTTGTCGGCTGGAGTCCATTTATGGGAGAGGACATGATCATTTCACCTTTCATTACACTGTCCGCTTTCTCCTGCTCGTTGGGTAGATGTTTGAGGAGACATTTCAGAGTTTCAGAGAGAAGTAAAGAATACACTCTTGTTTTTCAGTGTTGGAAGCCCATGTGCATCCTAGGTATTTGTTTATACAGATCTACTTCATCGTTGCCCCTTGGTTTTCAGTGCCTTAATAAGGGAAGGGGGGAGAAGATGTGAATAGTAAGAGTCTTTCCTTGGCTGTTTCAGCCCTGTGTGCACGTGTGCATGTTTGTATTAAGCTCATTGGCTAAATGCATCTTATATATTATACTGAAAAGCTTCCAATTCAGGTCTTTCCAGAGAGTAAATGTGAAATGATAATGTTAGAAACTGTTTTAGCTTTCACGGACAGGGTATTGCAAAATCTAAGACTGATGAACTAAATGGGTGAATTATAAAAGAATAGAAGAAATAAGAGAGTGATTTTGTGCAGCCAAAGTTAAAATTTAAGGTCAAACCACTGGTGCATGAAGAGAGATGTCACTGACAAGAGAAAAGGCATATTTTTCTGATTTGC